ATTCTCTAAATTTCATGCTATCTGCCTTCGCATCCCCCGTAAATTTCCTTATTTCTCGTCGTATTCCGGCAGGGGCGTGTACAGGATTTTTACCAGGGGACTCCCCCAGAAAAATTTTGTAATTAGACCCCTCTAAAATGCATTTTCTGCGCGAGCAGGGGGGGGTCCGGACCCCCTGGACCCCCCCCTGTACACGCCCCTGTTCCCTGCAGCTTCATCTCATCTCTTAGCTCCCTTACCACCGGACTAAGCACTTGTCCTATAATCTGTACGATATCCCCCATATTTATCCCATGCGCCATCGTGCGCCCTAACTCTAGCGTCCTCCAAAATAGCTTACCCCTTACTGCCCTTTACCCGGCCCTACGATTTCTGAAACGGAATGTGCATTAACTGCTGGAAAACAATCGGATTAGATCACTCATGCGCTAGCGCTGCGTATCACGTGACTGAAATTTTATATCCTGGTCGCACGGGCCCCATTTTATGTCACCGCGTGCTTCTTTATTTATGCCCACGCGCGACGGCGTGATCGTATCTCTGTTTAGTACCCCGTGAGAGAATAACCCGGCTCGAGGATATAAAAGACAGCCATTGATATACAACGCAACGCGGTAATTTAGATAACACACACGTATAACATTTATTAATGAATATCCCTCATCACCGTACACTTCAATCCCAACACCCCACTCGTTATAAATTCGTCATGTATTCTAATGACTACCCAGCGCTTGCCTACAATCGCTGTTACTACCGTCGTTACCCGTCCGTCTCGCTCAAATCATCCCCGCGACCCATCTACTCCCGACACCGCTAAACTATATTATTAACCCGCAATACTGTCCCGTCCGAATTCTATACCATTTACTCTAACAACAATCTAAACAGTCTGTACAATCAACTAACATACAAAGAAAAACCATAGTTACGTATATGCCATCTCGTCGGAGGAGTCTTGTTCAGGTTCGTCTCGGCTGGTCCCAGCACACTCTCTCCCTACTGCCGACACAAGATTGATTCACATACCCATTTTAAGTATTTCCGTCTCGTTCATCTCTTGCGTTCTTGTTCCTTTCGTGTTACTGCATCCTTCTCTTCCTTCGTCGGAATCTATCCTTCCTTTCTCGTCCTTTTCCTCTCCGTTGACAACCTTGCCAACGCGGCGGCCGCAACGGTCCTCCTTCTCCACGATCTCCAACCAATCCTCGTCGCCATCGTCATCGTCGTCGGCGCTAGCGCAGCCTGGCTCCCATCTCATCATCAAAACTCGCTCTTTTCGTCCCTTTCTCCCTGTCTCGCTCTCCGTCATTCTTCCTCTGTTTCTTTGCTGGCCCATAGATCGATATAGTGTTTCGGCTATACTCTCTCCCATCTCGTCATCGGCAGGGGCGGCGCCAGGGTATTTTCTTAGGGGGCGAAACCAGGGGCGTGTACAGGAGCACGCGAAGGAGGGGGGGGTCTTGGGGATTCCCCCAGGACATTTTTGAAATTAGACCCCCTGCCCTCAGAGCGTTTTCTGCGCGAGGCGAGGCGGGGGTCCGG